CGTGCCAAGTCCTGTGTGCTGCAGTGGCTGGGCCGAGTGTAGTGTAGTGACCCGAGAAAAAGAAGATTTTGCATGCCTATACCGATCCGTCGATTCCAGCTTTTCTCTTTTGCAATCGTGCATCTCTAGACATTGTTTATATGTATGACAGATTTGACAATATTCCAAACCTTAGGTCAAGTCTGTCCAGTATATGTCCATTCATGTCCTTCTCTTCAAGGAAGCCATCAGTGACTGTAAGCAGCAGCGTCTGTGGCGCTTGTGAACCACTATACGTTGTGTGAACAATGAACACTTCGGCTTCACTACCTGGGGATGAAAAACTAGTTAGGCTTTGCCCTTAATCTGTTAATGCACATTTCGTATTTTGGCAATTTTTTGATTTCTTCATTTCAGCTGATTTGCTGATGTTAGCACCTGCACTAAGAAACATTTTATGATTGATTATAGAAAGTTGAATTACTATCAATTTAAACATGGATTCGTTCTTAGGTATACGGCAGTTAAATCCCACAGAATGACAACCTTGCAACATTCTGCTTACCCGAGAAAATGTGATCATCCGCCTGTGATACTTCCATGCTGGAATTCACCTGATAAATGTTGACATGGTGGGAGGAATCTCTGCTGCCTATCATTGTTTCAGGATGGTCTCTCCCACCTTGGTAATAAAAATATCACATTTATATATAATTCATTGGACATTGGGTTTCATAGTCTACCATGTAGCAGTAGTTCATTTGAGGAGTTTACAATACTTTGAAATTTATTTAAAATTAGATCTTATGCCTGCGTGATGAATATTCTACTTACATACTTACATAAACTACACGGTCAGTAGATGGCACCACAGGTTGCTCTGTGTAACAGTTTTTTGCAGTATTTACCTCACATTGAACATCTCCATTTAAAGCTTATGCTTGCATTATGTAAACCACTCATGCTCCTCCTAATACTTACTCATATCACCACTAGATGACGCCACAGGCTGCTTTTCAAGCACTACTATGTCACTTCCATTAGAATTCTTTCTCCCAACCCTTGGCTGTGCTGCCTCGGTGCTATTACCATGCGCAACTTTCGCCATTTGTTCATGGTCATTATTCAGTGGTACGGCATTGGCATCAGCTGGCCACTGCTGATTGGTTGCCACCAGCCATTCTGCCCCGAGCTGTCTACGAATTGTTTCCATTTGGTGCTTTGATGACATATGCTCTTCAATTTCTATAAATGGTATGAAACTTTGTTCACGGTTTTATTTACACATTACCTTTATTTTCTCACAACGAAATTAGCCTCGTGAAAAGAGATTTCGCAAAACCAATCCTGTTATAACAGTGTCATTTTTGCCATCCAGAATTTAACTGCTTCAGATTTCAGACATGTCATCAGTCACTCAATGTTTCGTAGTTCATGTCATGTTATGTTCAGGTAAACGTTCACAATTACTTCACATTGGGCTTTCATCCTATTTATCTCAACAGACAGACAGAATGGTGCATGCTTACCACTAGTGTACTGCTCAGACGCAGTACTGATCACTTCAATGTCATCAGCATCAGCAATCTGAGCTTTCCTTGCCTTCACTCTCCTCCGCCTCTCTCTGCGTGTCTCTCCATCGCTCTACAGCAAGCAAAGAAAAACAGTAATATAATATATAAATATAATATTTCTTCAGAACAAAGCAATCCTTGCTGACTCGTGAATGCCATGTTTCATGCAGAAACGGCTCAAGAAAAATACCGACGAGAAGAATATTTATCTAAAATTTACGAACATATATGATTTTGCAATTTTTAAATTTCCCATGTTTTTTTGCTAGAATTATTGCAGTATATGGTAGTGTACATGTTGGTAATCATTCTATGGCAATGCCTATCCTGAAAATCCATTTACTTGTATCGTTTATTACAGTAGCAGTAACTAATAATGATCAACATCACAGCTTGAAGCTATGGTGCTGGATGCTAAATTTTAGAGGGAAAGACATTAAAGAGATGCATACAACAGCTCTGCTGTACTCACGAACGTGATATCAGTATCATGCCTCAAGCTGCTCATGGCTCCCGAGTATGACACCTCTAGACTTGATTCAAAGCTCTTGCTCGCTGAAGTCTCCACAATTGTGGAGTGTCTTCTCTGTGGAGGTCTATTGTGTTGCTGACCCGAATGCTACAAACAGTAGAACGCAGAAGAATTTCAACACATATAATTGGCATCATTATCACTTGCAAAATGCATGCGTTATTAATAAAACATGTAGGGAACATTTTGGAATTGTTACAAAGTAATCAAGTGCCCGTATGGAAGTTATTCTCTTGGCAGACGTGTTGTTGATAGTTGGCACAAAATTGAGCTTGTGAGTGCGATACCATTTGCAAGTTATAAAATTATAAATTATTAATAAAATTGTTTCATAGTATCAGGAACAGATTACACGCAGCTCCTACATACACATAACCACACACCTTGCACATTTGGTATACTTAACAACACATGTTGTGCATATAATGTGAGCCATAAACACCTTATCTGACATGTTATCACATCGATGCATCACACTCTAAGACTAAGGGTTACGCTATTGGCATTTTAGAATGGCCACTTTCCCTTGGCATGTGAACCTTAACAACAACATACAGACAAATGTAGATAAAGAAGTTTGAATAATTTGTAGTTCGAACTAAACAATAAACTGCAATATAGCACATTACATCTAACACATACCAGTACTTCAGATCGTGACAATGTGCGTCCATCAAGCTGAAAATTACTAGTGGCGACACTATTGGCCAATATTCCTACAGTGAGACACCGATGTATTTTATGAAAAAACAGCGGATTGCCTGTTAAGTTGAGCTGCAAGGAAAAAGAATTGTAGAACATTTACACCAAGGTTTTAACTTAACCAAATATTAGATATAATTCATGTTACAACCAATTTTTGCACCCACATAACATATATTGCTGTACTGGCAAGGCGACTGTCACCGTTGCAACCAGTCTGTACGCATATGACATAGAGCACACGTACAGCATTGGTCTGCAAATAGTTAATTTCAAGTGGCCAAGCATGCCTACTAAAATCTTACTGATTCTCAAAGGTGATTTTGCATAACTGATTTAAACAGTGTAAATGTCTGGTTTTCTTACCAAGATCCAATCAGTTTTTTAAGACTGTTCAAATGCTTTACAAAAATGAGACATTTATGAAAATTCATAGAAAGAAGCTCTCACATTTGTCAGCTTGGTGTTTGCTTGGAGAGGGTATAGTACGCTGTGATCAGACAAGCAGTTATCAGATACATCGAGCTGCTGCAGAGACTCCAAGACTTCTACTCCTGCAGATGAAAGACAAGCAAACAACTGAGAACACACAGAAACCAGTTCAATTTTACACTATTGATCGTTAATTTATAAACCTGTTTGCCTTCAACATAAAATTATAATATTTAATATTCACTTGAATGTTATAATGTGATTGCAGGAATGGTACACAGTACACTGTAACATTACTTCGCTAAATTTCGGAAATACCTCGGGAACTACAAAAATTTACGTTCCGATAACGTTCGCTAAAATGCTCTTAGTATGTGAGCGAAACATTGTCGTAACGATCCCATACTGTGAAAGGGTGATACCTTACCTTCCAAGTTGTCCAGGTTATTATTCCTCAACAAAAGTGTGGTTAATTTGCTTCTTGCAGAGGAGCCAAACCGTGGAATCCAACGCAGCTGATTAAAGCTGAGGTTAATGTGCACAAGTGACACTAGTAGCTGTAAATGGTATAATCAACAATTGATTGGAGCACAACTATACATGCAATTAGGACAATTATGATAGATTCATGACACATACATGTAATCACAAACTAACCAAGCCTTTGTAAACTGAAACAGCTATATGTCACTCAGATGCTACAGCATATAGATGTTCCAAGTAAGACACTCTACCATTTTAATGGATATGTCTATATTATATCTCAATTATAATCTGTTATTACTAAAGTTAGACAGCTGTAACTGAATATACATGCTTACAACTTACCTCAAGGTAACTTCCCGCCTGGTAGAGTTTGTTGTGGCTCAGATTGAGAGAATGCAGTGCAGGTAGCAATTTCTTAAAAATACAATATTTAATTTATTATGACCACCACTACAAATTTATAATTAGTATCTAACCACATTGCCTTTACAAACAGTTTCTTAATTTTAATAAAAAGGATTCAAAGACATAAACAAAACTATAATTACAATTATTAGGCAAAGGGGGGGATAAGCAAGCAATCATAAGCAAGAGGAATAATTAATTTCTTTCAAATTTCTAAAAAGATTTTTAGCATTACTTATCACATTCATTTCATTTTCATTTCAATTATTTACATTTCACTAGACATTATTTTGTGATGGTAGCTGCCCACACCACACCCTTCGAATAATACGTCCCAAAATATATGACATTACATATACTTGAATCTGTGTGCGGAAAATTAAATGATATGATACGTCTGTACGCTTGATGAATACGCTATCACTTCGCTGTTGTAATTAGGCAGAGAGGCAAGACGTTGCCGATATGCCTTGCATTAAAACGCCTTAATTCATATTGCATTCAAACGAATCTTATTTGCCCAAGATCATCTGTCAGCACCAATGCATCATGTATTTCCACTATGGAGAAAGAAAACTTACAATTGTACAAAACTACAATGTTGGGGAACCGGAACTGGTACAAACACCGCTAAGCACACACGTGTGTACACAGTACACCCACCCACATACACATGCGTACACACGTATACATACTACATATATTATGGTATTTATACCAAATATTTACAAGTCTTGTTAATAATCTGTTAATGGCTTACCAATGAGTCATCAAGGCAATCTATGCTATTGAAGCTCAGGTTGACAGTGGTTAGTTCTGGCCATGTAAAGGCTTGGCTCATGTCTCCACCACAACTTGCAAACAAATCCTGATACAGTAAAATGTATGTTATAACCAAACATTCTTTACTTTTCATACTAATAAATATTAGGTAGCAGGAGTAAAAATTCAGAAAAAAAGTTAAGCTTTTTGTACGAGTTTTGGGTTTTCCAGGTAAAATTATTAACGAAGTACATAACAGCCAATCGTAGCCACAGGGTCTTGCATACTAAGGAGTGCCGTCAAGTTGTTAGGGAGTGTCTCAAGACTGTTTCAAGTCATAGGAACGCTATAGTTCTCGTCACATGGTTAGAAGCGAGTAGGTAACTTGTGGCTACTGTTACTGATGTTAAACAATGTAACCACCACACTTTTCCTTTGTAATATGTTGCTCTCAAGCATTCTGTTGCAGTTTGCATGCATAAATTCAACTGAGAAGGCAGAATCCAGATGAGACGGGATACTAGAAAAGCATTGCCGAAAGGAGATGTTGATCCGAAGCGCTTAAGCGCAGATCTTGTGCACAGTTCCG